TTTGATAATCGTTTGAGAGATTATGCTAATTATCCAATTATAGAGGTGTATACACATACATAGATCCATAAGGAGGGTGGGTTTGGATTCTGATGTATAAAAATAAGAACATTAAATTCAATCCATTCAAGAGCCTGACTCAATGAAAAGATACTTAACTCATTAATTAGTGTCACTATAAATTTATCAATTGGTACGTCAACTCTGTATATTTCAGAACTTCTGTCTCTCTTTGTCTTGGCACTGTAACAGACATTCAGTGCTACAAAGCAAGCATTCCTATGAGGTAGATTATCAGAAAAGAGATTGGTATGTCATAACCGGTTGGGATCTTTCCTCTACAGCACTACTTCAATCAGAAATTAATGGATGATCCCAGAAATTCCCTGTAATGATACCAGGAGCCTTTTGAACAAACTTCTATGTGTTGTAAGAAGGAATCCCAGATAGAAACAGGGTGTGACTCATTTGCCCTAAAAGATATTTGATAAGATTGCCTTCATTCCTGTTGGTGTCTCTCACCATTTCAAACTGAATTCAAAAAGTTAATGAGATTTTCTCAGACAAGAACTATGCAAGACAGTTTGTAAAATTCAGGGGGGAGGGGGGGCTAGTCAATACTGAAATAAGATGTGATAAAAAAAATATATGGGCCAATTTTTTTTATTAAGGAGATATCTATCCTGTTTCCCCCAAAATAAGACATCCCGATATTTATTTATTTATTAGTCCAATTTATATGCTGCCCTTCTCCGTAGACTCAGGGTGGCTTACAATGCAATATAGCAATAGCCTGCATACTTTTTTTCATGTATATGCCTGTTTATTAGGGCTTTTGCCCGCCCCCCCCAAGCAGTGTTGTTCTATACAAAGCTGGCTTATTGCCCCCACAATCTGGGTCCTCAATTTACTTACCTCGAAAGGATGGAAGGCTGAGTCAACCTTGAGCCTGGTGAGATTTGAACTCGCACTAATTGCAGGCAGCTGGCAGATAAGTGCTAGCACTTAACAGCACTTAGTCCGCTGCAGCACCAAGGCTTTTGAGTGCATGGCAATAAGGCCAAGCGCTTATTTCAGGGTTCAAAAAAATATAAGATAGGGTCTTATTTTCAGGGAAACACGGTAACTAATCACACAAATTTAATGTTATCCCACTCTCCATTGGGTAAATTCCTGTAATTGTTTTAAAGAGGAAATTAAATCTTCATGGATGAATCCACTGTACCTTCACATTTTCTGTATTTAGTTTGGCCAACAGCTTGGCCATCATTCTCAGTCAACAAATATATGGGTAAAAATGGCAGCTATATTTAAACGTTTTCTTGCATCTCCCACTTTTTTCAGCAGTAGTTCATGTTTTCTATGCTAGAAAAGGCTTTTAAAGGTTTTTCCTTTATTCCCTTGTAAAGTATATTTAACCAAAACAACAAAACAAACACACCCAACCCCCGGGCCATAGACCGCTACTGGGCTGCAGCCTGTTGGGAACCGGGCTGCCAAAGAGGAAGGTGAGCGCACAAAGCTTCATTTGCACATGTGCGGGATTTAAGTTGCACGCAAAACCATTTCCTCCTGCCGCTGAAACTGCCACCACTGCCAGTCCGCAGAACCAAAAAGGTTGGGGACTCTGGTCTATATTACCCATATACTTATTTTAAACTTTCAGGTCTATTTTATAAGGCTAAATTTACATAATCTTTTTTATTTCTCAATGGGCTACAAAGCTTTTCCTCTCATGTCATAACCACTTTTAGAAAATCCCCCAAAATGGGAATAACATTCACAACACTTTTAGTATCATATGAATACAAGCATAGACCTTTATCCAAGCTGTGAAACCCAATTTTTTTGCAACTGAAATCCACAGAGCAGAAAGGAGTGTTGCATTTTATGACAGCTATTTCTCATCTTTCAGAATTGTGTATTATAACTTAGCTTTCCAAGGAGAAGGGGAGGAGGGGAAATTGAATAAAACTAGTCTCTGCAATATAGATGACTGAACAGGAGAAGGGAAGAAATCTGTTTATATCAATGACTGGTGCAGTTGTTGGCGTGTCCCTCCCAATGACCCTATCACAATCTTTTGGAAGATCCAGAACTTTCTTCAAAGCTGCTTTCTAGCAACTTTCCCAGGTCTTCTATTAGTAACAGGGATTAGCTCGATTAACCTATAGTCTAGAATCACAGGGCTGAAAGGGATCTTGGAGGTCTTCTAGTCCAACCCCCTGCTCAAGGCAGGAATCCTAACACCATCCCTGACAAATTATCATCCAATTTTTTTCTTGAAAACCTCCAGCAATAGAGCACCACAACTCCAGGAGGCAAGCTGTTCCATTGATTAATGGTTCTTTTTGTCAAAAAATTCCTTATTTCCAGGTTGAATCACCCTCTGACCATCTTATCCATTACTGATAAGGCAGTTAGATTAAATACAGTTTATGAATACACTAGGGTCTCACACCATGCTCAATGAAAATAAACCAAGCTATATAATAATGTGAAAAAGTCCAATATATTTATGGATACTAAAAGCATATTTTTACTACAGACTTGTAAGTGCTGCATGAATATGCCATCATCTTATGGTATAAATCCTAAAATATGGTTGTTATTTGATTCGTGAAACTCATATTGACCAACAATAAGGGAGGAAGAAACACAAAAATAATACAAGAGAATAAGTTGAAGTACAATGAATAGCATTTTTGGAGAGTTCATGTTTGATAAGGTGGCAGTTTCTTTGATAGTTCAAATAACTCACATGAAATGTCATTATCTAGCAATACACATTGGCTTCAAACAATCATTCAAGGACATTTTTTACATAAAAAGCTATATTAAAGATGTACCTTTAATTTCCACCTGAAAATCAATACACTGAAAATATTAACAGTAGAAAAACACCTTCAATATTTGCTATAGCTATATCACCCTTTTCCATTTAATCTATGGCCATTTATCTACTATGGCCTCCCCAACAATATAGAGTTCAGCCATACTGCATTTCACTAACATTATGCCAATGATAGCAAACAGCTGTGCTGAACAAATTCATTATATGCAGATTATAACAAGTATACTGCAATTAATTATATTTTTATGTGTATGTGCCCTTTAACCCACAAGATTGTTTTTGATCTAGTGACATTCAAAAACTTCAACAGAAAGAAGAATAAAGTTACAAATATAATAGTTTTAAAATTATAAATAGGATCTAGCCATATTAAAACTGGAAAACTATCAAATGTGTAATATTCAGTCTTTGCCCCGATTGCTCCAGTGCAATCATATGGATTATCATTCTCTACTGAAACAAACTGAAAATGCCATCATACAATACTGCCACCTATGAATCACTGCATTTTTGGCTTCCATTACTATAATTCATGATTTAGGGGGAAATACCGTTTTAAAAAAACCAAAGACCAGGATGATTGCAAAGAAAATGTCAGAAAGAAAATGCTGTGTGATAAACAATTTTTTTAAACATTTAAATTGTTCTGTCCTAAAAGTGCCATTTAAAGTCTGTCTGAAGGAAAAGTATCGCAGGCATTTTGTTTTCTCTATTCAACACTTTAATAAAAAATAACTGGGAACTATCACTAATGTTTGGATATGCAAATAGAATTAATCAGGGATATTTTGAACTCTGGAAGGCTAGAAACGTCTCTTTCATAGAACAGGCATTCCTTTTTCAGATCATGATACATCCACAGATGCATCCACAACAGATGCAATACTCCTTATGAAGAGGTCCAAATTTCAGACAATTTGCGGGTTAATCTAAAAGCATTCCCAAAGAGTTAAAACGATTTTAAAAACCACTACTAAATCTGGGGCAAAGAAAATTTCAGCTCGCAGTCGACGCTCCGAATTTTAAACTGAATTAAATCGAAAGGCAAGAGGGTTCCAGGTACATGTCCCAATAGCCGAAAGGGGGAACTTCTAAAAGAGGGGAGACACATTGGGTGAAAGAAATAGCTGGAAATTAATGAACACAATAAAAGCAAATTCCATCCTGAAGCAGAGCAATTTTTATTCTGGCAAGCCTGCAGGGCACTCAGCAGGACCAAGGCCTCAACTCTCTGCTTTTACCCACATCTAGTAACCAGCAGAAAGGAGGGGGAAAGGGGGGGGAGGGTGGGGGAAACAAATCCGATAGCTCCAAATGCAGTCAATGCTCGCTGACCCCTGATTGGGCTTTCTCAGCATTTGCAGCGAAGGATTTCGGCCCCTCCCCCCACCCCGCCCCCACCCAAACTCTTTTTTGAGGAAGTGGGCGCCTTATCACGTGGTAAGTCCTCCCGCTCAAGGCATCTCTACGGGGAATGTCACCTTCAGTCCGCAGAGCGGGAAGATGGAGGGAGGGGGGGAGGGAGGGGGGGAGGGAGAGAAAGCGGGGGGAGGGGGGTGGAGAGCGACGCCCAGCCCCCGACACCGACAGGGGTCAAGACACCTGCACCGCTTTGTCTCGGTCGCTTAGGATGCGAGCAAAGCTAACCGGAGATAAACGGGAGAAGGAAGCCACTGAGGCCGGAGCTTCCTCTCCGTCTCTGGGGCCCGAGGAACAGGAAACGACCGGAAGAAAGAGAGAGAGAGAGAGAGAGAGAGAGAGAAAAGGGGAGCCGGATCCAGCGCGGCTCCTTTATACTGTATGAGGGAAGGAGGCTCTTGTCCTTCAACCGGGGGGGGGAGGGGGAGAGAGGGAGAAGTGCGCCTCAGCGCGAGACCCGCCCCCTCCCAGCAATGGAAGAGGGAGATGGGAAAGGCCCCTCTGTCGAAATCGAGGCCTACAAAGACCATCTCCCACCGCGCCGGCGCCTCCCCTTCCTTTCTCTCCCCTCCCTTCTCCTCCTGCCGCCGCCGCCGCCGTTGTGGCGTCTCCCTCCCCCCCACCCACCCCCCTCAGCGAAGGCCGCCCTGAGGGAAGAATAGGGTGGGGGGAGAGAGAGAGAGAGAGAGGATCCGCACCGGCTCTCCGGCGAGCCCCGCTCACTCACCATCAACTCGATGGTTTTATCCTCGATCACCGACTCCGGCTCCATCGCGCGCGGCAGCGGCGGCAGTTGTGGCGAAAATGGCTCCTCCTCGGCAAGGGGGAGAGAAAACCCCGTAATCGACCCCCTCGGCTCGGAGAGGAGGCGGAAAAGGAGGAGAGCCGTCGCCGGCTCCGACAGATCGACCGACTGACCCGCCGTCGTCGTCGTCTTCGTCGCCGCCACCACCAACGCCGCCTTCTCCTCCTCCTCCTCCTCCTCCTGTTCCTCGGCCGCGCGCCCGGAAGAGGAAGTGAGGTAGCCAGGCGACGCGGTTGCAATAGCAGCAGCGGCGGCAAACCGCCGCGGCCCTGATCGGCTGCGGGGATGCGACAACCCGCCGCCGCCGCCGCAGGGGAACGAAGAACCAGCGCACCCGACATGCTTTGCGGCCACCGGCGCGAAAAAGACTACAAAGGCCGATATGCAGGGGGTGAAAGAAGCCCCCCCCCCGAAAAAAAAGCACCTGTTCTTGGATGGAGCGGCCTAAGAAAACTCCGTTTCCCAGCATGCATAGGTCTGCCACCCTTTCCCCCCCTCCCTCCTCTGGGGGGGGGGGGGTTATGGGGGGGGGGGAAGTTCGTAACTTGCTGGAAGAATAAAGCATCTCCGCACTTCCTTCGAGGGCTCCGCGGGCCCACCCTTTCCTCCCTGGAGGCCTTTCCTGGAATTGGCGGCGAGAAATGACTAGGCCGCGGCAGCTGCCACATGCTGAGTCACTCCTCGGGCTCCGTCTCGCCTCTGAAGGCCTCAGCAGAAGTGCCAGCTTCGACGAGGCCTGGCGGGCTTCGGCCCCGCGGATTCCGGGGGTTGATGGTGATAGTGGAAATACCTGCTGTGAGGGAGGTCTCCTCCGCATCCAAGCCGTCGGTGGAGTTGGCACCGCTCTGGCCGGCTCGCTTTGGAGCGGTCAAGTCGTCGGGATCGCGAGAAGGCAGCTCCAGCTTCAGAGATTGTAACGGCCGCGCTATATAAAGATGGCCCGGTTTATACCTCTTTGGAGATGGAGGTGCTTGCCTGAAGTTCCTATTGAGGATCGCTGATGTCTTTTTTTTTTATTTATTTATTTATTTATTTATTTATTTATATATATATATATATATATATATATATATATAGAGAGAGAGAGAGAGAGAGAGAGAGAGAGAGAGAGAGAGAGAGAGAGCGCTACCTAAACATGAAATATTGCTATTATTTTTTTTAAACGACAGGCGGCTAGTGCACAACTTAAAGAAATTAAATAACAATGCCTACATTTATTTAAGTGTGCTTTAAATTTAATACTGTGTATACTGTATACCATTACATAGTTTTCAGAAGAGGAGTTTTCTTCCTCTGGCATTTGATAATATGCAAAGATCAAATGCTTAACATTCTTATTATTAGTGAATCAAATCCTGGGCGTTTGATAATATGCAAAGATCAAATGTTTAACGTTCTTACTATTAGTGAATCAAATCCTGGGGGTTTGATAATATGCAAAGATCAAATGCTTAACATTTTTCTTATTAGTGAATCAAATCCTGGGCGTTTGATAATATACAAAGATCAAATGCTTAACGATCGTATCCAGTATTAACTATCACTGTTTCTAAGATCTTTCTTTCTCTCTTTTCTTTTGCCGTTTGCTTTCACTTTTGGCTTGTAATCTGGGAGTTGGAGAATTGTGCCTTAGGGCTTTTTGAGAAGTATTGAAAAAATATTTTAAATGTCCTCAAATTCCAGCTAAAGTGATTTCTCGGAATATGTTGAATCAAAAACATCGTAAACAACAAAGTTGTCTTGGTTCCAGTTGGCTAAAGAAAATGGTGTGATTATTTTCATATAACAAAGAGTTGTTTGATAGATGGAATTGCTGGAAAACCACACTTAAAGGGGCTTCTCAAAGTCTAAATACAAAGAAGTGCTTCTGGAAATTTTGCATTTCTTGTGTGCCCAGTCTAAGACAAGCTTTATAAAAATTCATATTTATATGCTGACTATATAAGAATATAATCAGTATGAGTCACCTATTAGAAGAATTTTCACACTTATAGCATCATCTCTGGAAATGTCTACATTTCTTCTGAGCTGATATGGTTTCATGGGGGAAGCTGCCGAAAAGCCGACAGGTCTTTTGAAGGCAACCCAAAATGACTTCTGAAAGTATCTGTCCATTACTGAGCTGGGATATCGATTAAACTTTCAAAAGTGTTTTCTTGCAGTATAGTAGCATTGTTGAGTTTGTGCATCAACCATTGATAATAGGGATTTTATGATCCAGTATGGCTGTATTTAGATTTAATCATTTTTGGGCTCTTGTTTTTCTGTTTTATGAATATTGTAACCATTAACTCTCAACTCATTTCACTTGATCTTTTTCCAAACTTTATATTTTAAAATGGCTGCTGCTTATTGTTTGCCTGGACTGATGACAATTGGAAAGACAAGTTTCATTTTCTTTGAAAATAGAGTTCCATCCCTGAATAAACAAAAGACCTTCAGTTTCAAAAGAATGTAAGTAGTCCTTGACTTACAACCACAATTGAGCCCAAAATTTCTGTTGTTAAGTGAGACATTTGTTAAGTGAGTTTTGCCGCACTTTACCTTTCTTGCCACAGTTAAGTGGATCACTACAGTTGGTAAGTTAGTAACCCAGTTGTTAAGTGAATCTGGCTTTCCCATTGACTTTGCTTGTCAGAAGGCCAAGCATTTGAATTTTGATAATATCATGATGGAGATGTTGCAAATGTCATAACTGTGAAAAAAGGTCATAAGTCACATTTTTCAGTGCCATTGTAACTTTGAATGGTCACTAAACAAACTAAGTCTAGGATCACCTGTAGTTTGAGAAAAAACCATATAGAAAATATTTTAAAAGGAAAAATAAGATGTTATAAAAGTCTAAATGCTTGAAATATCACTTTGGAAATTTAAAACATTAGGTATGGTCTTTAAGAGATTCTTGTAATCATTAAAAATTGGCAACCTATTTTTAAACTCAACATTAAATAACAATTATTGTTAATGTTGTTTAGCATCTGCAGTCATTCTTTACTGAATTAAACTCCTGAGGATGTCTAATGACATAGTTTGAATTGGTGAACTGCCTACCATTTGCCAATTTAAAATGTGAAATTAATGTTCATGTTTTAAAAACATACCAAAACATACCCTGCCCTGTGGGAATTCTAGAAGTACTTCTGTGTAAAATTAACCATCTGTAGAGAATTCATTGTCATGTACTTATGATTGCCTTTATCTGTAAGTAACCATGTCTAAATAGCAGTAGATCATGGAATCAATCCAGGAGTGGGAGAGGTTATGGGGAAGGGCTTGCTGAAAAAAAATGGTCTGAATGATTTAAGGGATTAGAGATTGGATTATTTTGGGATTCCCACTATCTGGAATTACTTTAAAGATACCGCATTTTTCGGAGTATAAGACGCTCCCGACTATAAGACGCAGCTACCTTTTTTGGGGAGGAAAACAAGAAAAAAAAAATCTGCCTTCCAGCAATTTGCCTCCTTGCAGCAAACAGCCTGTTTCAGTTTCAGTTTCAGCACAGCATGATTAGCACACAAAAAATCTGCCTCTGCCTCCAAGCAATTTGCCTCCTTGCAGCAAACAGCCCGTTTCAGCTTCAGGACAGCCTGATTAGCACAGGCAGCTGATTATTGGTTGGATCGGCCTCCCAAGATCAGCTGTTTCAGGCTGCAGGTATTGCCATAGCCTATTGCCGCCTCCGTGCGCCCCATTTTCCGGGGGGCCGGCAGGTAGGCGGGGTTACATTCAGTGTATAAGACAAACCCAAATTTTCACCCTCTTTTATGGGGAAAATTAACATCTGCTTGCAATTACTGCAAGTTCAAATCTCACCAGGCTCAAGGTTGACTCAGCCTTCCATCCTTTCAAAGGTAGGTGAAATGAGGACCCAGTTTGTGGGGGCAATAAGCTGACTTTGTATAAATATATAAAAGTATGAAGGCTATTGCTTAACGCATTGTAAGCCGCCCTGAGTCTCCGGAGAAGGGCGGCATATAAATTAAAGCAAAAAAAAAAAAAATACACCATTAGCATCAATATTCGAGCATCAGTGTCTGAGAAAATCTGGATCTTGTTTTACATGTTTATTTTTTCATTCTTTGATCAAAGCTAGTAGGGCTTATTCTCTTGTCAATGAATATCATCAGTGCTAGGACAAAATATAATTTAAATTAATTACATTTAAAGCATTTGCTTTCTCTTAGTTTTTGGCCAGCATTCCTGTTTTTTTAAAAATCTTCCTGCTTTATTAAACATTCTTTGTCTAGTCTCTTATTATAGTAAGATTCCTAGGAGTTTTGTAATATGGATCTTTGACTTTTACTCCAGTGTAATGCATGAGAAATACGGACTTTCCATAGTCAGATTTTCAGGGTGTTGATGTTCATCCTTTGGGAAATTAGTATCTAAATGTTATGCTCCCTATGGTTCATATTTTTAGTTTGGAGGAAAAATCATATTACATTGAAAAATGGCATTTTTAATGTAAATGTTAAAATGTGGGTTAATACTTCCAAACTACTATTTTAAACATTCATCATATTGCTGTTTTCTGTTGAACAGTAAGTATTACTTCTGAAAATTTCCGCAATGATCTCTGGATAATTATGTCTTAAATAACTACTTATAATCACAATTTAAATTCACTTAAAATAGGCAGTCATCTTGTAACTTCCACGAGTAAACTGGATTCCAAAAGTAAACCATGGGCTATGAGCGTAATTTCCTTTTGTCTACCCCATGGTTCTCAACCTGTGGTCCGCGGATTTCTGGGTGGAGCATGATGTCATCACAGGTGGTCCGCAAAGGCTTGAAGAAATGTTATGATTTAAATCTTAAGTTAAACAAGTTTTGGGGGTTCCATAGCCATAGTCTGTGACCACAAAAGGTATTTCAAGGGGGGTCTGTGGTGTAGGAAAGGTTGAGAACTACTGGTTGGTCACTTCGTAAGTAATTTCTATTTTTTATTATAGGTTGAAACAAGGTGCACTTACAACTTTTCTTACCCTGGTGTGTTATAAGCAGTGGTACAGGCTGCCTCTTTCTATCTATCTATCTATCTATCTATCTATCTATCTATCTATCTATCTATCTATCTTTATTTATTTATTTATTTATTTATTTATAGTATAAATTATGTTTTTACCAGGTGTGTTATAAGCAGTGGTATAGGCTGCCATTTTTATTTATTTATAGTATATGAATATGATATGAACATATCAACTCATAA